CTTTTTCTACTTATCCTATAGAGCAGCATAAATGTCGTGTTGGTACAAATTAAAAATATGTTTCCACACGTGCGTAGACTGTTTATCTTTACTTCACCTGAATTAAGTTTTCACCAGCTTAATGCTTGATGATATCTAAATTAAGAATTTGGGGTCGTGCATAATATTTAGATAGACGTATATTTTCATGGAATTAATACACACACAGAAAACTAAAATGCGCCCTAAGGATTAAAAGGATGAATTTCAATTGGTGCCAGGCAATATCGTCCGGTACTTCAACGAAATATTTATTCTCTACTGTAGATTTACGACTACAATTTAAGGGTGACATAAGTGCTACAAATAGCTGCGCTCTGGTAAGTCTGGCTGCGATTTGAAAGCGAGTAGTTACTAACGCTACGCTGGAGTGTGGTTATTTTTGGACAACGTATTTTTAAAAGTTTAACGCATCATAAAATGTTTCCAAATGTATATGCGCTATTTTCGTGCGTTTCTTGATCACACGCATTCCCCTGAAAACGACTAGTACATTCTAGCTTCTAATTTCAATAATTATACATGGCATTAACAGGCAAATCTGCATATCAGAACAGCAGCATTTCTGTCTCAATATGTGCTTTTACGCTATCACAGCTTATTGCATCGAGACCAGACGCCTTCATCTTCAGCGGGATCATTAAGTGCAAAAACGTTGTAATTTCTCACACGGGTCTTCCATCGAGTATACATGTAGTCCGCCTGCGTGTGCATGAAAGGCTGAATGGAATTCCCTTATATTTACTGAGCAACGCAGAGATAGCCCTGCAAGTGGAAGCGCTTTTCAATTTTGAAATAGTTGGATGCATCACTTTCGAACCTGGACCCACAGGAAATCTACTGAAAACGAGTGCGTTTGCCATACTTATGCCCCCATAGCTGGTCAACAATGTTCATTGATGATACTATAATTAATCAGTTCATTTCATTTACTGTGTTGAACTTAGGTATTTTTAACTTACGAAGACGGTGATGGGTTCAGCTCGTCATTTAGCTTTCGAACCGTTTAGTAGAAATGCAACATTCATTTTCTCTAAATTTTTCTACGCAAGCGAATAGTCTAGCAACTTCTGCAAACTGTCCTGAGTTTACCATCGATTTTTAGATGCAGGCACATGCTTTAAGCATGTCTTGGATTAATATGTAATCAATCACAAATACCGAGTTGGATGTCCTAAAATGTATAACGCTGAGATGTTAAATTTATGACAACACAAAGTCTCACGAATTTCGTTTCTTAGTTACGTTTCCTTATACCAAATACCTATAAAAATACGTATACAAAAAATTAAATCGTTGTGGATTTGACTCAACGTGGGACAACATTTTATGCTCTGAACACTCATGTTGTTCCTGTTTTAAATTCCAAATGCACACAACAGCTGATCATCGGTTAGGTGAGTTCACGTCACTTTCATAATACGAAACGTTTTCGTGTTAGGTAAAAGTCAGGTGAAGACGTACGTAGTTTTATCTATTGTTTAGCGTTTAGCTGCAATGCGGTTCAAACAGTAAAATAAGATTTAGATAACATTTATTAAAAGTTCTGCTTTCTGATTTGGCTTTACGCATTCTATTTTCGCTTACAATCCTAATCAGGATTTTATGTGTTGAAGTGTTCATTCCACGCTTTAGACTGACCAGCCTCCATTTGGATAGCTGCTAAACGTGATTAATTAAGCCTTAATAAACAGAATTTAACAACTGTAATTAACATCGAATTCGGTCACCAGCTTATCTGTAGTCTATTCAGCTGCGCATAAAATAGTCGTTGCCAATGTTTAATTTCACCCTTGAATTGTTGTGCACTGTAATGAAACAAATCAAATTGCGCCATATGACGAAAATAGTTAATTAAGATACCAATCAAATGTTGTCAGGGAATATGGAAGTAGCAGTTTCTTTGGTAAATTTACCAAAATAAATGGCATCGTGGACTCGCTTTTGGTAATCATGGGAAAAATTTCGACTCACGCATAATCAGGGCCTAAAATCGCAAGCATCATTGTGTTGTGTGGTGCTGTATACAATTTATTCCATATCGCCATCGAGAAGGGCAGGAAAATTCGTTTTCATTTCTCAACAGTTCATTTGTACTTATTATACATCGCCTCAAAATTACCTACATTTTAGTGTCATTTATTTCTGGACCCGGTTCTACAAATATATGTGATCAGGTGAGATCACCCCAGCCCAACCTTTTATTTCCGTTTTGTACCCTTTCAACCTAAACTATGGGTACCTCGTATAGGTGTCAAAAACGGCGTATCAGTAAACTAGATAGCAGTTCTATGCAATCAAAAGGTTTTTAACCATTGTTGCGCAATCAAAAAGGTGTCAACCCATTTCCCTGAACTAAATGGTGGTGTATTGCTCCCAGTGATAACACTGAATTCGATTATACACTCGTAAAGGCCTTGGCGTCCATTGCGAGAGAGCATATACAAGAATTAACTCATTTGATTGAACATAATTTTACGCTGATAACTACATATTTTAGCTTGTCATTCCTGTTGGTAACAGGTTGCAATAGATTGGTACATCAATATAACGTCTAAATATTGGCTCACTAAATTTGGCGCAGCTGAAACATATTAGAAGCTTATTCATCAGTAATAATATAAAATTTATTTCAATTCGGGCATAGACGGACGATTATTTTACCGGTTGCTTATAAAGCATGTAAGTCCGTATTCTTTGAGTTGTAATTGACATCAATGCGGTATGTTTACTCCTGCGAAGTGTAACTTGCTATGTTAACTGGACAATAAGCGACCCTTCAAGGCACGTAGAATATAGCAGAAAATTAGCAACGCTGCTAAATTATCCGATTCGAGTTGTATATGAGTAGAAACCACAGATTTTTCTCTAGGTCGACAAACAACCCAAAAATCTCTATCGTTCTAATTTTGTCTACTGGAATGTTTTGGATTATAATGATTAAACGATACGGCAAAATGTAATGTGACATGATTAGTATCACAAGAGACTATAAGATTATGTTGCTTTCCCACAAATTCACCCCCTCAGGTTATTCAACTGATGGGCGCAAACTTTCACACCTTTTACAAATCCTGTGTGAAGGAGATGAGGGATTTGAATCGGCTATCCTCCCACAGACTGGAGGCAAATGAACCATTTTACGAAGCCGACGAATTGCTATATCTGGAAAGGCACGCCCAATTGATCTATGATCTCAATGAACCCTATTTACGCTGTGAATACAATGGATATATTCAAATGGAACAATGTAGGTGATGAGCTGGCCTGAATTTCAGCAATCAGATTATTGTTGTAACTCGTCATTTTATGCTCATCAAAATTTGCTTTCAGTTAACATTTTCGTTCTAAAACCATCACCATACTCATTTTTAATACATTGACATACCACCATAAACATTGCTTGATAGTTGATTATAGAAAGCCCACTCGATTTTGCTACGGATAGGCTTGAATTAAGTGCAGAATGCTTTTTACCTAGTTAGACTTAGCAGGTACAGTTATTGATTTGCATTATATTACCAAGCAAAAGTTGATAAAATTTTAACTATTTGCATTCCAGAAAAATCTATCAAACGCCAGTTTTCAAGGTTAATCTAATTCCATTAATTCAACCCGATTGACTTTATATATAACATTTTCTGTGGCTTAATTAAAGTGGCTATAAAGGCTGACTGTTCCATTCAAATATGTTGCCTTGGAGCACTTTGCTGTATTTCAATTCTACTTTCTGCAGTGCCTGATCATCAACCGGAAGGACGCAACTGACAATGCGCAAATAATTGCGCATAAAATTCACACGTGATTAAACACAATTTTAGTTAATTAACACACGCACATATTCAGTACGCTAATGTATTATTAATGAATATATACAACCGTTTTCACACAGACTAACTACCTTTAAGTCACAGTTACATCGCTTTCGGCGTACAATATGCAACTAGGTAAATAAAAAGGATCGAAAAAACACAAGTCGATGATAATGTCGAATTTCACTTTATAAACGAGTGCTTAAGCCTAATTTTATAATCGTGACCTAGAAATATTAAACAGTGGGCAAAAGATTAACATGTGCGAATGGTCATAGTCACCTCATTCCTGATAACTTTGACACCAATACGAGAGCTGCACCAAAACGGTAGTTTGTAGCTACATTGCACTAGTGCCTGTTAGCATATCAGTGTAACTGACTGATTGACTAAGTCGAACAAAGCAATCTAAATCGAATTTTGCCCACAATGTACTCTAGCTACGAATTAAGGTGAGTTGATATTGCAACCACATGACTGGTGCGAATTTCGTTCCATCCTAGAAAAAAGTGGTTCGGAATGATGGAATTTAAGGAACACTCAAAGCACAAGACGGAAACATTGTATGAAATTTGTAACAAGTTACGTACCAAGCTGCTATTTGAAGTAAGTAGCATGCGAATGGCACCCTGATTCGGTCGATTAATAAATTTTAAGATCTTCCGGATTTATTTAACAGCCTAACTGCGTGTAATTCCAAACATGAAAATAGGGCAAACTGCAAGTCAGAGGATACAGAAACAGACCAAAAGAGAAAGAGTGATTCATTTTGTGAATGAAAACCGCTGAAAATCATGCGCTTAAAAAATTGGTGAGGTTTAAATTGGCTTGTCTATCGTTCATCCTCCATGAGCGCTGTGCTCTACGTTCCCGCACTGGAACCAAAATTCGTAATTGCAGTAGGTATGTATGTTCTCATATAAGGAGCGAGATCCGCCTGTTCCGAGGCTGATGTTCTCGACAGCATAAGTAACGACTTCCCGGTAAAAATTACGTTAATTTATATGTGACTGTAATTCATGTATAGCCCGACGACCTGCTTGCTAACTCGAACTCAGCTTTGTCGTGGCAATGGAAGGTCAGTGTGTTTACTTCAAGCTTACTACAATTTATATAGTATTTAAACTCATGGTGATAGTGATATCATTGAGTGGGGTAGGATGACACAAATTTACCCATCTGTGACTCCAGATATATGTAAATCCGTAGTCTCACAGTGACATAAAGGGAAGATAATATTTACCGCGCACAATGTGTTTGCGAATAAAATGCTATGGCATTAATTCTTAGTGGAATATATCGCTCCAACAAAAAGATCCTGCTATGACATTTGTAAAAGATGTCGATTTTCGCTTACTTAAATGCTGAAATCCTGAATCCAGTTGACATTCGTGACTTGGTAGCTAAAGTGGCAGATTTTTCAGGTTTTATTCCAATAGTTTCGGGTTCGAATACTTCCAACTTCAACTGATGAGATACACTGAGGTCGAAACGTGTCATAGGGGTTAGTAATTACGTGCGGGAAACCTACAAATGTATCTACTTATGCTACCATCATTGTGATCAAACAACCAAGTTTCACTTGAATAGGATTCGCGGTCCACACTGAGATTCTGCGTCGCAGTCCATCCACAAAATGTGTAGTTTCAAATGACACACCAATCAACAATTTGCCTTTGGGTTAAGTTTTGCCCGTGATGCCCCAGTGGCTAAGGGGTAGCATCCATAACTAACATCCCAGTGTTCTCGTGTTCGATGTTTGCTACCTCCCTGGTGAGATGAAAAACACCGAAGCGCACTGATCTTTGCGAAACACCACGTTCCAACTCATACAAACGGAATTTTATCTTCGAACACGCAATTGCAGCCCCCGTTGGTGAAGGATGTTACCAGTCCATCTAAGTACCTGCTCCGCGATTCCACACCGCTGCAGCTTCTGAATAACTAGGTAATAATTCTGAGGATCTAAAGCTTTAGAATGTCCATATATATAAAACATTTCCAGGCCCCACCATCGATACGTTCGGTCATACCATCTTGTGCACACACCAAGTAAAAGGTGTATAACAAATGTTGGCCTCAGACGCGCAGCTTCGATAACAAAATGTTGCGCGGTTTCATGCAATACCTTAACAAGTCTCAGAGTGGACCTCGTCCATAAACATTGAACACAACCGGGAAAGTGTTACTGAGCATTAATTTGCAGGGTTTTGCATGAACGTTGTCTTTAAAATTTTGGATGATAATACTTTTTCCAAATAGTCCGGAATCCATATTCACTACGGTAAATTTTATCGATTAACCCCAGATGCTCGAAAAGTTTTGCGGCTTTAACTGCCAACGCTTTTAGAACAAATATTACCGGCTGCTTAAAAACTATAACAGGCCGGGTTCATTAGGGTTTTTCATAATAAATGGATTGCTGATGAAGTGTGTATTCTAGATGGAAGGCAAATTGCACTTCCGTACTTAAGGGTATATTGCCGTTAAACAACCTAGGATAATCTGACAGATGCTTACAAATTAAAATATCTGCATGACATGAAAAATTAACCTTTCTTTTGGAGTGCGTACAGATTAGGATGCTATGTAGCCTTTTGAATTGCATTATATATATTTCACGACGATGTCTAAAATTTCGTGCGTGCAAATTGTTCTATTGTGCACTCGTGGTTTTTTCACTGTGGCTGAGCGCGCACTTTATCGCAAACCATTGGATCTATACTTATTCGTCGTACTTTTAAAAGCTCCACCTTGAGATACTATATTCTCGAATACAATCTACTGCATTATACGCTTAATATAACTGCCAATAGTTTGCGCAGTGTTTCCCCGATATCCAAGCGTTAAGCATAGCCTAACTCTAACCATCGGAGACATTGTTTGGTCTTAATCGACAGACCATTTCAACAGCTTTCGAACTAATTGTCACTCGTTTAATCACAACATTGCTTGAAGCAGTTACAGTTCTCAAGGCAAATTCACCTGGCGCGATCTGTAAGCTTAACCACGAAAATTCTCAATTCCGCCCTTGTGAAATATGCCCCACGTTCAAGCTGACACACTTAACTGCCACGTCAGAAAGTATAACCTGCGAACACATAACTGCAACAGGAACACTGTGACCTTGCCGACAACGTCAGTAACAGAACAAGTTTTTATCACAGAGGGTGAGTCATTTAAGTGGTTCGAAACATTTTCTCACCAGCCCTGATTCCCAGAGTGCCACAGTCTAAAGACATACGTGAATCATGTTCTAAACTTGTTAAAGGGGCATTCTGTGCCGTAACTGTAGCAGGTATTCCCATGCGAGATGACTTCGAATTAAACCCAGTGTGGTCAAGTTATTAAACAAACCAGATTCTCTATGGTTCTGCGTGGAATACACATCTATTCCACTGATAAAAAGCGTGCTTCTATTATCACAGACTTACGATCAGCTACTAGCAAGTTTAAGGAAATAGTGACCAGCAAAATCACTACGGCTAGGGTAAACTTGGCGGACTGTGCAACCCAATCCTTAACTATAGGTGCTGCTCCTATCCTGTGAAGAACACCTAGTTACACCGTAAGCAACACGGCACCAAGAACCCATTACATCAACCGCTGTTTCAAATTCAACAAGTGGCTGCTATTTGACTAAGGCGATGCCCAGTTTGATAACAGTAACTACACGTATTGGTACTTCTAATCTCCCGACGGAGTGCGTAGAAAAAGAGGAAGCCAATACTAGCAAAATGGGGTTACGGCTACTTCCAAGAAGAGCCGTCATTCAAAAGTAATATCACCTCCAACTGGGTCGGATACTGAGGAGTGTAGCGGGGTTTTCCAGTGAAAGCACTGCCGGTTTTCCGCTGCACATCTCGGAGTATTTCAGTCACTAACCGCGACACGTCGAAAGGTGTAAAGGAACAAAGAAACATACCGAGGGTACTGCGCTCCAAAATCTCAGAATCAAAGTCGACATAATTAAGAAGTAGGCTGTTGGATTACCTCAACCACTAGGACATTATTAGTAACCAAATCGGAGTTGTACTGAAACCTGTACACGTAGTGTGTATTAAGCGACACTCCAACTCTAAGCATTTGGAAGAGTCTAGACTACTAGGTGTTGAGCTGAACTTCACCACTGAAGTAGAATCAGTACTACTGTCGACAGTTAGTCTTATTAATGAACACTGTTATATCCGTAGCCTTTCAGACATCCCATGCGGCGAGCGTTATCGAGTTAAACACAAATTAGTGGACTAGCGGTAGTAAAATTTAAACAGAAACATACGTATTCACGGGATTTCTGAAACGGAAGTATGTGATGAGCATGGAATAATAAACGACGATAAAGAACAGCGGTGTTATGTTCGTGAAACACCCTGCTTGGATGAAGTTAGAGGAATCCGAGTCACAGCTGCATAATTCACCGAACTACAAATGAAGTCGTCCGAGAGATTTGAAGCTGGTCCTACAGTCAAAATAAACGGTAACACGGCTGCTAAAAAGCTGGTGCATGTTCCGTTACAGGCTAC